ATGGGCTTTTTAATGAATGGAAAACACACAAGTAAACAAAATTCAAGCACTTCTTTTTAAACTGATGAATGAAACTCAAAAGAAAGCTGAAAGACTTAAATTTAAATATTTGGATTGTTTATCTCTAAATGTGTAAAAATTAGCAACTAAAAATTTGCTTTAATAAACAAAGCAAGAAAATTTTTTTCTGTCAATTTTTTGATAAAAATAATTTGAACCATTAACAAGCAATATTTGTTTTCTGTTTATCATAAACTAAATTGAAAATACAAGGAAGAATTTTTAAAAATGATAATTAAATGCAGAAACTTTATCAAAAACAATTTCATTTACAATTACTTGCCTCAAATTGTGACTAAAGATTTTTAAAAAAATTTTGATTGTAAATGATTTGTTATATAAAAAAAGAATTCATATAGAACAATTCTTTAAAGTATAAGTTATTCTCAGCATGAAAATTAATAAAAATACTTATATGTAAAATTTTTCAATCTGTTTTAAACAAATTTAGTTGTGAAATTTATAAAATGTATTGTTGTTCTCTTTCACCCCCAGTAGCCTTTGCATCTTAGTGGCATTATTGCCTTGCTTGAAATGAATTAATTAAAATTAAAAAAAAAAAAAAAATAGAACTTTGCTTTTTTTTTTCTTTACCTGGCATGAAGTTTAGTGTTTTATTTAAATATTAGTAGTGCTGAAAAGTTCTCAGCCTCAATCAAGAATGGATTTAATTCTGATATGTATCATTTTGTTCCCTTTTGAGAAGTGAGTTGTGTCAAGAACTTTGCAATGCTCCCTCATGGACTAGAAAAAATCACTTGTGTCAATAAAATTTCTTCTAGTACTGTTAGTGGTTTTTATTGATAACACGTTTATGCAAATAGATGAATTGATAGTGATTGTTATATAAAAACAGACTATTTTTGGAGAGGAGGGAAAAAATATTTTTCCTTATCTGTTTTAACTGCTAATTCAAACTCTTGAAAGATCTGAAGAGAATTGTTTTTATTAGTATTTAACTCTTAATTCCTTAATTTAAATATAAAGAGAAATAACTCTGAAAATCATGCTAATCAGTCATGTTGATTGTACAGCAACTCTAAAACTTCATTGGTTCTCAAGGACATGACCTTTGGCAAACCAATGTATTTATTTAACGTGCTTGTAAAGTTTTTGCCTTCAGTGAAAACAGGTGATAAAATGCTAATTTGAGGCATTTGACTTAACTCTTTTGTTTTTGTAAAGTGTTAAGATGACTGCACCTTTTGAAGTCCTGAGATAGTTTATCTAGTTCTCAGCAGATGACAGAGTTCTGGAGTATAGCCACTGTGTTCCCTGATCTTTGGAGCTATGCTGTCAACACCTACAACTTTTCTACTACTTAATTGTTTTTTTAAATTTCTTGTGGTTTGTTGTTTTGTCTATTTCCAGTTTAGCTGCTTGTTATTGGATATGCAAATTATTAGAAGATTTGTACTGAAAAATGTGTGAGAAAGTGTTTTAACCAGTAGCTTATAGTGGAATTTCTTTTGCTGTATAGCACTGAACTTTCTACTATGCAGGAGGATTTAGGCTTGGTAGATGGAGGCCATATATTGTTTTTTAGTAAAGCCCTCTGAAACTGCTGACATCTGTATAACTCTGATCTGTCATTGCAAGGTGTGTTCACTGTTCATTTTGTATAGTGCAGAGGCCATCTTGCATTGGTGAAAAGTGATTTTCTTATATCAACATGATGGTGCAGTGAAATATGCTTTATGTGCATCACACTTATTGGACACTAATTCTTGGGTTTCTGGGTTGTCATCATCAATCTTGGTTTTGTTTTGAGGTAAAGCTTCAGAGGTTTCTAAGCATTTATGTGACCCTTGAGATCTTCAAAGTAACGCCTTTAGGACAGCTGGTTGCTTCCAATCACAATTCCAGCTTCTCTTGGAATTCTATGGTATCCTTGTTTTGTAGGCACCTGACTTTAAAGATTATCCTGAGTACTGTTTCGCTTTGCCTTGAAACGAGAGTTAAACTTACAACAGTCAAGGTGGAAGTCAGTTTGAAACTGCACTGAGCATCACTCTTGTGTGGTGGATATTGTTTTAGTTTTCTTTGATGCACAATGACATAAGAAAAATGCCATGTGGATGCATTCTCACTTAAAACAATAGCAGCTCATAGACTATATTTCTGCTGAAATAGCGTTGGAGATCTACAGTTCTTATTCTCAAGTAGAAGCTAACTGTTGATGCTTGATTTTCTAACCATGTTAATGGCAGATGCAAAAAAAAACTGCAGTAACTCCTAGACAAAATAGTGAAGGAAAGCAATTGTAAGAAGACAATGTATGATTGTCAGTAAGAAGAACAGTCCAAGATTTCAATTTTGAATTGAAAATGTAAATACCTGGGATATGTTTTAACAGAGGACATAAAATATGATACCAAAATCTGATGGTCATATTGGAAGAGAGTAACTTTACAAAAGTTAAACAAAGTAACAGGAAAGTTTCATTAGAAACAAATAAAAGTACTGAATTGCTCTGTAATATCAATCCTCCTATATGGCAGTGAGTGCCTGACACTTTTCTCACAGATGACAAGGAGATTTGAGGTAGAATTTTGATTTTATAGAAGGTTGCTAAGAATACCATGGATGAAGGATGTGAGCAAGAAGGAAGATCTTAGGAAAATGGAAACAAAAAGGATGCATAATTAGAATCAGAAAGAGATGGTTGAAGTTTCTGTGATGCATAATGAGGAAAGCAGGCTTGGATAATTTGACACTCAGAGGACATTGGAGGCAAGAGAGACAAGTAGAAGTGGTAACTTATCTAATTGTATAGATAACTGAACAGGGACTGAAAGAGATCGTAAAAAGACTTAGCTTTGAGGTTCAAAGGATTGGAAGTTGTGCAGAGCCATGATTGTGCATATCCTAAAGTGATATGGTCTATAAAAGTGCTTCTCAAGAACACTTAAGGTGTTAAAGTCTTGTTGACATTAACTGTTCTTGGGTCATTTGTTAAAATATAGTGTAGGTCAGAACAGAACTGATATTTTTTAACATGTCCAATTCAAGAGTTGGAACATACATAATGAAGTGTGGAAATCTTTCAGTACTATTTAAAGGCAGGTACGTGTTAATGATATGGTTGAAGTAACTGGTAGATATATCATCAAGCTTTGAGACAATGTTCCTGACCATGATGCATTTACTATAGAGGCCTCTCTTTGATTTTGGTTTAACCAGGCAACTGGTCAGTAGAAGGGTGTAGCTTGCTTTATGCACTTTTAGACTGTTTAAAATTGACGTCATTATTCAGCTTTGAAAATTCATATGCATTTAGAGCAGAACTCTGTTCTAATAGTCTTCTTGTCTGTGTATAATATATATATATATATATGTAGTTTTTTTTTTTTTATTATTGTCCTTTCTCCTAAGCAAAGTTTTCTTCACTCTCAGTAACCACTTGTATCATAGTGATTTTTATCACCTTGCTTGAAATGAAATAATTACAAAAATTATTTGTCAAGCAAACATGAAAAGTTTCTCTCATTTTAATTTTTCTGTTGTGTAGTAAATGGTGACCAAATCAGCAATTGAGAACAAAGTAACATTTTGATAAATGTAGTGGTTATTAATTTTGCAAGTTGCAAATTCTCTTATGATGTAAATTTATTGGAAATATTTCTAAAACATTAAATACTTATTCATTAGTATATTTTCCAGATTTTAACACCCTATCAACAGCTGTTTATTCTAAATAACTTCTTTTTATTTTATTTTATTTTTTTAAGGTAAAAGAAAAATATTCTTAATCAGTTGTTTTAATATTGTCTACCTTTTTATTCACCTATAAGGAAACTTAATTTTGTTTATTCCCATCATCCATAGATCATTATGGCTGATAGTAATTCCTATTCTTTACTAATATGTACCAAGTATTGACAATTATTCATTTTTTAACTCTATTTCTTTCATTTTAACTTTAGTTACTTTTTATTGCAAGTCAGACCATCATTCTATGACTTAATAAAGAACACAGAATGAACATAAATAAGTTTTTAATGAGACTTGAACTCCTCTCATTTTTTTTCTTGGAAAACCTGTCAACATGACAGCTACTCTATTATTTCAGCCACAGAACCTAATGGTTACAGAAGATCAAATCTGACCACATAGTTTTATTTCCCTCCGAATGCTTAGTGTTATCATCCTTGATGGCTTGTTTATGTACACTAAAAGCATTAGTGATAATTGATGCTTCCATTTTGCATACTTTAATAATGGTCATAGAAGGACAGTCCATGTAGTGAAGTGTTAGTATACATATTAGTATGACATCTAATTTTATTTATTATGTGCTATCATACCTCACTTTTCTATCTACCAACATACTCATTATTGATCCCTTTATTATTTGCTGCTGACCTGCAGTTTATAATCCAGAAGAAAGCCTGGAAGGAATAGAGGCAGTAAAAATTAATGACCTGCCAGTAATCTTTTCACACATCTTTTCATTTTTTCCTACTACTAGTCATACGAAGCAACACATTGTATTAATTCTGTGTTTATTTGTCAATAAACAATAACATCATTATGAAGTATGAAACTTTTTCATTGAAACCAGTAAGTACTTAGAGTAGTTGTGATGGAAAGCAACTAAAATTAAGATGAAAGAAATACTAGTCCAAAATAATAGTTGTCAATGCGTTAGTTAATAAAAATAAAAAAATTCAAAGTAATCATGTCTGTCTTTATATTATCTTAAAACTATAAGATAGGAGGACCTCTCTCTGTAGCTTTATAGTAGTATTATTAATACTGATTTTTTTCTATTCTGTAGTTTAATACAAAGCAACTGATATCCAGGTGAAAAAATGCTAGTTCAAAATAATAAAATGAAGCATGTTATTAATCAAATATCATCTGCAAGCATTCCTTGTTTTTATTTTTAGTTATATTTATATATCACTGATTAAAATAATCTTTCTTTCTTTCTGTAGGTATCTCTCTAACTGGAATGTACATGAATCCTATACTGGCTTCCATTACGAGTTTTGGCTGCAAAGGTATTACACCAAGCCAGCATATAATTGTATATTGGTTGGCTCCCATTATAGGATGTGTTTTGGGACAGAAGCTGCCAGCATTTTGTAATCAAGAAAGAAAACTCTCTACAGCACAATCTAGTAAATTTCAAAAAGAGAAGCAGCAGAAAAATGAAAGCCCAGAAAGGGTACGCAAAATTCGGCGTATACGTTCTCGAGGAAACATGTTAAAGAAGAGATGATCAATTAAATGAAAATCTGAATCAACTTAAACAACTGCTTTATCTTTTACTCCACAAAAACATTTCTTTCTGATGTGGAACACTTTCTCCTTTTTTTTTTTGTATTGGGGTAAGGGACTGTGCTTAAAAATCTTTTTATTTAACTTACTTTTTATTGCTAAAAAAAAAAAACCCAAAAAAAAACCCCATAAAACTTGATTTGTTTCTTGAGTAAAATAATTTTTGATTGGTTAACATTTCCACCAATCAGCACCTGAAAATCCATATATTTTAATACCATTTGTTTCACGTTTTTATATTAATTATATTGATTATATATTTGATTAATTACATGCAGACTATTGTCCTCATCTTTATTTAATGTTTTTTTTTTTTTTTTTTAGATGGCTAATATCAGTGTGCCTTATTATGTAACTTTGATATTATTAGAACTATTTTAGAAATTAGAAAAGACTGTTATGTAAGCGTCAATTTCTTTTCTTTTTTTGTCCCTTGCAAGGGAGTGGTGAAAAGCTTTTCCAAAATCTGACCAAATACATGAACATCAGATTAACAATTTTTTTTTTTTATAAGGTCTTCTTACTTGGGCTGAGAACTTTTCAGCACCCCTTGCACATGCCTATGCTTATCACAATACAGAATAAGCTTATTGTAAAAATTTATGGTTTTCAGATATAAGCATTATAATAAGCTAAGTAGCTTTTAAAGCCATTTGATAAACACACAATATATATATATATATATATATGAAGAAATAATTTTAAGGTGTGGTATATTTATGGGATAAAGTACTCAATATCAGAGATAGAGCGTATGTAAATATAAAAGTGAACATTGAAGTCAACACTCAGAGGCTGTTCCATGCTAGATGCAACCATCAAGCCATGTAGCCTGACAGTTGCGTCTAGCATGAAACAGCCTGTTTATTTATTTATATATATATATATATATATATATATATATATATATATATATATATATATATAATACTATTTGACTATTTTTTTTTTTTTATTGTATATTTATTTTTATTTTTTTTAAAGAAGATATTGAATAGTGTGCTCTTTATGCATCCTAATTATGAGCAAGATGAAAAAGCAATTAAAAATATAATTGATCACTCAAGGATCCTAACAAACACCTAAAGAGTACAATACTCAACACCTGATTCAAAAAAATTAAACAAACATACCTTATCTCTGTACTTTTTAGTTGAACTTGTTTGGATGAATACTTTGTCTAAATATACCATATATTTTCTCCATTATGTAAAAAGGATTACTTCCTGAAGAGCTGGGTTTACAATTATGGCTGGAGATTGCTAATTGACTTGTGACTGAGCTAGTATGATCTTCACTTTTCCATATTGGAAAAATGAGAAGAATTAAAAAAAAAAATGATTAAAAGATGATTTGAATTTACACAAAATAGTCAAATATTTTCCTCGTCATTTTTTAAATTTAGATTTCTATCTTCTCCCTTTGTGCATCTTGTTATACATCTGCAGATCGTAATATGTCTGCAAATTTGTTATTTTTATATCATCCCCAAGAAAATCAAGACTAAAATATCTAGTTTTTTTATAACTTGATTGTTTTACATTCACACATCTGTTTGGACCAATATCACTTTTGTTGTTCATTGCATACAAGTGGGAGTTCAGTTTTGTTATTGATTTTATTACTGTCCAGTAACTGACCCAGTGGTTGCAGGGTTTTACTATTCTGTGGTATTATAGGATTCCTTAACATATTTGTATTTTATACTTTAAAAAGCATATTTGCTCTTTTCCCATGTGCACACACACAAAAAATTTTTAAAACTTTCCCTTTTAATCTCAATTGATCTTTCATTGTAACATTTTTTTTTTTTTTTTTTTTTTAAATAATTTCATATTTCTATTTTGAGGTAAAGCCTTTTTCAATAGATTAACCTAGGCAGAACTGCTTACTGGAAATCTTGGCTACCAGAAAGTGATTCTGGGAACCAAGACCTCTTAACAGGATATATAGACCAGATTAAAGAGCAACAACTTTGTGTTGCTGCTTCAAAGAACTAAATTTGGAATCCTCCTCTGTAGAACAGAATAGTTACAGTAGGTTCTCTAGATTTATAACATTTCAAAAAAAAAAAAAATACAATGATTAGTACTTTTGCAGATTAAAATTTCCCTTAGTCATTATAATAGAAATTGTGTACTTTTATCTTATTGGATATATTTCTAAGACATTGAATATTTTTCTTTTACTTAGCTGTAGATAGGATGTTAGAATATGACTGTTTATTCTAAATATATATTTGGCTAAAAAAATTCTTAATCAGTTCTTTTAATATTGTCTATATTTTGTGCACATGCAAAAAAATTTAATATCCGTCCAGAAATTTATATTGATCTATTTTACTCATGTTTACAAAAAATGTTATTGAATTCTCATTTATGAAAAATGAATTTTCAGTTCACACCACTCAAATTTCAAAAGAAATTGCCTAAATATAAAGTTTACTGTTCAAATTCTAACACAGGAAATTGAATTCCAATTCCCTGATAAAATGTATTGTGTTTAAACAGGATCATTTTCTGGTTTGAAACTCTTATCTTCAATATTTAGAAAATATAAAAAATATTTTCCCAAACTTTTATTCTTCTTGTTTAATTTTTCCTCTTTAAATGCTAAAATTCTAAGGGTTAAAAAAAGAAAAAAAAGTATTTCACCAGTTAAGATCATCGACTCATCAGAATAAAAAAATAAAAAAAAAAGAAAGATTAATATTGTCCAACTTTTTATTTGTTCCAATGTAAAAAAAAAAAAAAACCCACACTTGTAGAATTATTTTCTACTTTACAAGTGCAAATTTTCAGCAACTCATTTTTATGGGATTTGTCAATCTTTTTACATTGTAGATTCAGTTCCTTCAGGGCTGTTAACCTAATGAAGGCTGAAAAAAAAAGTTCATTTGAAGAGAACCTCATTATTTTGTATAATTTTTTTCTGTAAAATGGCCTTCAAGGTCACCATCTTGCCTAGTCATTTCCTTGTTTGGTTAAATAATTGTTGTCTAATCAATATTATTTGTCCACTCTTGGTTAAAAAAATAATTTAATCAGTTGCAAGCAAATGATTAAAGTGTTTAAAATTATTTTATAAATTATAACAAAAATACTGATTAATTCTGAACTGTTTTGAAAATTTTTTTTTCTTTTTTAAATTCAGTTGTATATGCCTTGCAACTCTTCTTTAAATGTTAACATATTTCTTGATTGTAGTTTGCTCTTATTTTCTGGAACAGTCTTTCAGCTATTCTGCTACTGATGTTGGAAAATTTACTAAGATTGACCAGAGTAAACTAAACAAAGCACCATGGGAGCAAATATTCTTTGAAATGGCTTACTTTGATGGCTTTTTCTTTTATCTTGCTTATTGATCTACAGAACTTTTGTGAAAATTTGAGACTGGGAGGGGAGTGAGGTTAATAAAAATTGTGATGATTAATGAACATCACATGACTGAGCATCTGAAATTTTTACAATTTATTTGGTAATATTTTGAGTTTTTTTTTTTATCTGCAAGTCATGAGACTTTATATGTATACAGATATACTATTTCATATCACCAGTATTCATAAAAACATTCCTAACATTTTCAGATTTACATAAGCTAGTATTACATTCACCATGCAATTAAAATACACCCTTAATACAAGAATTAAACAAACACACAGACACAAAAAAAGATTCTCTAAAACAAATAAAAGAAAACAGTTTAGTTTTGTAAGTGTTAAATTTAAACCATTTCTTGTCCCAGTTAACACCAGATTAAAGTGTTATATATATATATATATAAGGTACCACCCAAGAAATGAGATACTCAAGGTTTAAAAGGAATTTTTATTTATTTTTTTTTTTTTTAAATGAAAAATCTTGAAGCTTTTATGGGTACAAGTCAAAAATTACCTGTAATCTTATAATTCCAAATACTGCAAAAGTGCAGATAATGTTTTGACTTGCTCAAGTTTAGTTTTAACTTCAAGCTAATAGATTAAATTTAATCTCTTTATTAAAAAAATCTTTGAAATAATAAAATATATATATATATATGTTGCTGAATCTTTATTTAATCGGAAAACTTAACTAATTGTTTCTAAAGGGGGGGGATTACTTGACAAACCTGAGTGCCTTATAGGTTTTTTTTTTTTTTAACTATTCCGTAATAACCTGTTTTATTGAATTTTAGGTACTTTAGCTTCAAATTTACTGTAGTTATTGTTCTTTCTGATGTCATGTATGGACATCCATATTTATAAAAATTGGCACGTTTATATATAAAAAAAACACACACAAAATTAAACTCTTTAAAATACTGGGGTTTGTTGAATTGTAGTAAGCTTTTCCATTTATTAGTAAATATAGTATTTTTACTTAAGAATATCACCTAACCTCTACAAATTAATATAGAATTTTAAGATTTAAAACTTTATAAGTTTTTAAAATAAAAAAAAAAAAAAACATTAGAAATCCCCCACTTAATACAATAATGTTCATAATATATCTTATTCATAAAAGCAATTAAAATCTTTTCTAATTAAATGTTTTAGTTTTATTGCATTTTTTATTTTATGATTCAGAGCACATTTTCAATAACTGGGAACCCTGTTTTACAAAAAGAAATTGATGATTTAAATTTTACAAGGACATCTGGTTAGAACTTATATAAACATTAAGTGGTATGAAAAATAATTTCTTGAAACTTTTTTTTTTTTCTGCAAAAAGATGCTAACATTTCCTATACTTTAAAAAAAAAAAAAAAAAATCCTTTGGTCTTTCCTCTTACTAATAGATTTTGATGATAAAACTTCCATGTATACTGAAATTTTTTTTTTTTAGCAAATATATTATATATATATATATATATATATATATATATATATATATATATATATACTTTGTAGTTTTACCCCACCCCAAGTTCTTAGCTTAAAGTTAGGAATGTGTATTGTACATG